TAATTCAAAAATTTATATTAATTTGATTGTGTGGTAGTAAGATATCTCATAATATTTCAGCATCGGCCAAAATTATGTTTTGCTGTCTCGCTCGGTTGGGTGTCTCGCTCGGTTGTGGATTACGTTACATGGATTTTTAACTAACTAGTTAACCTTCCATTAGTAAGCCCAGGTAAGGTACCCTGTCACTCCGTACCGAGGTTGATTCCATATTATTACGGGCATAGTACACAGTATCGCAGCGCGTCATTCGCGATTCAAGCAATCATAGATAATAGTCTCAAGGACTTGATGGGCAGCTTACCTGCAACTTGCGATCAACCCTCATGGAGGTTTTAAAACAGCTACATACTTCTGTCTTTCAGAATTTCGACACACTTTTCGATGAAGCCTATAAATCCTTACATACGGAGCTCGCGCGTCGCGATGAGTATGCCAAGGAGATGGGCGAGAAGCCAGCAGGTAGAGAGAGAAACAATGTTTCTGCGGAGGTTTTGAAGCTCAACCGCGAGATTTCCCTATTGAGAGAGGAAATTCGTCGAAACGATGTGGACCAGGAGGACATGGAGGGACTGGAAAAATTGGTCCGATTGAAGGACGTATATTCACCAGAACACCTCCAGTGGGTATTTGAGACTGGCGAGCAGGAAGATGGACCCTTCACAGCGGACAAAATGAAGGCCGTCTGGGATCAATATGTGGCGCTTTATGCGGATTTCCAGACGCTGATTGATGCGTCCAAAGATCTCAAGGCGAAGATTAAACGTCACAAAAAAAAGTTACACTACTGGGGTGATCACCTTAACAAGGAAGAATTCACACTTGTACTTGATGGCCGTGCAGTCAAATTCAGACAGGTCCCAGAAAATGCCAAAGATGATATGGCACACACCCCCTCGAAAAAGTCGACACTGTCTTCCACTGATTTGCCAGTGAAGGTTGGAGGTGCTTCTGCAGAGGTACATTTAACTCCCTCAGACTCGACTGCATCCAAGCACAATGGTGATCACACCCAGACACAAGGCAATGGACGATTGCCTCCTTCTATTTCCATGGAGCCAGCGTCAACACAGTCCGAAACCTCAATCGACAGCGACGAAACCGCTTCAACTCCTCGGCTCCCCGAACATTCGACAGGATCGAAAGCTGGAACATTGAAAAGAAAGCACGATACAATTACAGATCATTCTTTGATTAGGCCGGGCCATGGCGGGATTCTGGCGAACGACCGGTTAGCGCAGCCCGTTCTGATAAAGAGCGAGAGCATGTCCTCTAGCCCCATACGAATCCTCCTTGAACATAACGGTCCAGCTGGAACTCAGGACTTGGACGAGGTTGGCAGCGCCGTTGAAACCCCGAGAAAAAGAAAGTTCTATCATTTGGACAGCCAGTCCCATGAACCTCCATCAGACACCGCTAAGTCTCCTTTGTCCTGCAATCCAACAGCTCTACCGTTCAATCGCCACCAAATTGAGGCGAGCCAGCTGGCTCCCAAGCGACTCACAGTGCTTCAACCTGTGGACAGTAATTTGCCAAGCGCAAATAGCCCTAGGATACGGTCAGGGCAAAAGCTACCGAATAAGTCAGAGAGACGTAGCAAGTATGCCTTAGACTCGGTAGCGGAGGATGGAGATGAAAATTTGAGGCTCGTCCCAAGGAAAGGCCGAGTGAAGCAGGCATCCCGTGTCCAGTTGGCACAGGCAACTACGAGCATAGACAACGTATTGACACAGCAGCGACTGGATGATCTCCTGGAACGGCCCTTGCGCCCCCGGCATCCATTGCACATACGGAAGAAGAATGGAGACATTGCTGAGGTCGAGCCTGACCAACGGGACACTTCCCGTGATTTATTTACACCAGCCTCGGGGGGTCTCAAGGAAGCCTCAAAGATCAATGAGCCAGCTCAATCCGCCATTGATAGGCCTTGCATATCAGCCCCAGACCCAGAAAACCCACAAGCCTCTCAGCAGGAAGGGTTGCGGTCGCATTCATTCGAAGTTCCTAATACGACTGATGTACACTCGGAAGACGAACCTTATCGAGCTCGACCGCTTCACCGACTCGATCTTAGACATTTCAAGATCAACCCCAAGGTCAACCAAGGCCTGGACTTCGCGTACGATACAGTTGTCCGCAGAAAGGACGAACGCAAGTGTATCAGTGGCTGCACGCGTCCGGGTTGCTGTCGAGAGAAATTCCATGCTATGGCGCGTCTTGCTGGCCCTCCAGCCAGTACGGAGGGCTCAAACGACAGGGAAGAAGAGCAGGAAATCTTGGAGGACTACCTCGGTGAAGAGAAACATCTACTCGACCAGCTGAGCGCCGAAGAACGTCAGAGCCTCCTTCATGAGGCCAGAGCGAGGCGCATGGCCAACCTCTACAGTAAACATAGACATGACCATCAGCGTCCAAGCACGCCTCCTGGATTTTGGCGAACGGACATGCCTGACACACAAGAACTGGAACATGATCGCGAAGTAGCGAACAATCTCGAGAGGGAAAAAGTGAAGGAGCGGTATAGAGAAGCAATGCGTGGCGGAATGTGGAAATTCGCTGATGAATAACCTTGAATGTGCATAACAGCAAATATTGTGGAATATAACGACATAGCCCATTATTTAATGTCTCAAGTAAGCGAACAGCTTCAACAATGATTATTCTTTTTTTGCGACCCAACAAGTTTGGCCTCGCGTTCGGCTCTGATGCTCTTCCTACCCTGTCATGCATGGTCTTGCAATAGCTGATTGACTCTGCACAAGTCATAATTACCAAACCTCATTTACGGTGTTCCTGAGTGATCGCGCCTGAAGCGCTTATCACTTGCTGCTGTGACCGGCAAATTGATGAGCTGTACTGGTACCCTGTTAACATCCCTATACCTAAGAACTACCTAGTATGTGGCAGCTAATAATGGAAATGTACATAGGAGTAGTACCCCGTCACGGAAGATTGACCTCGGCATCTTGTCCTTGGCAACAGCCGGACACGTGCCGCAGTACTCCGTACCCCGGACTCGATTGCCTATCTCATCTATCCAGCGAGGCGATCTCGATCTCACCCTAATGACTCTCTACTCTCTCCGCTGCTTCGAACCCTTCAATTGTTTCCTCAGAAAGTGATATTCTTATAGCTTGCTCGGTACTTTCCGAGAGCTCTTTTCATTGGAGATGGATTCAGGCTGGAAGAGTCATAGTCTGGTATCTGCAACATTGTTGCAGCCGTCCAAATGGCTTACTCTGTATGAAGACTTTGTGACGAAGAATGCTAGCTCCGTGGGTCAGGTTGAGTCTGCACTGAGATCTCTCACATATATCATTCCAGGTGAGGACCGATAGAAAGCGCCACCGAGCGCCTTCACCTCGAGTGCGGATGGAAGCTAATCCAGATGCTCTAGGGCGTTATAGGGACTCCGAGATATCCTCAGAATGTGGTCTGTATATAATAGAAACGCCTTAGCAGATATTCATGTACTCACAAGACCCCCTCTTTTTGCAGTCCATTCTGGTGTTCAGCTCCTTTCGCTCTATCATGACAGCCTCGTTTCCCGGGTCGTTGCGAGACTTCCTTCAACAATTCCACGGCCGGCACCAACGCCTCATTCTCGGTATACAAAATATTGGATATCTCATTCGGCTCTTTATCATCAGGTTGCTCTTACGCTTCAGATGGTACGATACACCGAACTACTCTGGGAGATGATTGCGCGACGTCGAGGTGAAAAAGTACGCTGGCGCGTTGTTGTTCTCATCGAAATCGTCAAAGCGATATGTCGCTTGCTTCTACTCCGTCTCACAAATTCTAGGCCACTGGTCAGTCCACCGTTGCCTGAGCGCGAGGTAGATCCTAGGTCTACGGAGGAAGAAAAGAGTGATTGGAATGGGATGCAGACACCCGTCAGTGAGCGATCCGCGGACTTGAGCTGGACTATGCCGCGAACGGGATTATCGCTTCCTTCTCTACCCGATGTCAACGACATTTCCACCTTCCTCATATCCAAAGTCTTAACAGCCGACGATATCAAGCCGCCGAAGGCGCTTTTGCATCGGGTTAGTGGTCAGGGCCAATTAGCAGAAGTACTATACATTCTGCGGCCGGTCATCTATGCACTAGCGCTGCAAAGATGGCGAGGCGACAAGAGAAGCTGGAGGCCCTGGTTAATTGGCTTTGGTATGGAGTATGGCTGTCGTCAACTTGCCAAATCTGATTTCCGTGAGCGGGTGGCAGGAGGCCTCCGGGGCCTCACAGGGCTTGAACGCGAGGAACTGAGGAAGAGAGGCTGGGCCATGGGCTGGTGGCTTATGCGCGGTGCATTCTATGAGAATATTACCAAGTATGCAACCCCTAGCCTTTCACTTGAGGTGAAGGGAACAACGAGCTGACGCTGATTAGGTCTTGGCTGAAGGGGTTGACCGGCAAGATGAAAGGTAAACCACTGCTTGATTTGGTGGGAAGCGTCATCGAAGACTATGAATACCTATGGGACAATTTCTATTTCCCTACTGCAACACTGTGAAAGCTCACCCTTCCATTGCGTTTTTCTGCCTTTTTACCCCATTTTTGCACTTCCTTAGTTCGGTCTTCCAAGTTTTGTCTTTAGAGGCCATGCAGGTCCATGATGTACAGGATGAATGGCTGTTAGTGTAATCGTCCTGTTCATCTGAACCACAACGATGAGTGGGCTGTTTGGAAAGTCTTGTTTCATATGTGATGTGTGCTTCGCAAGGAGTTTAAAGGAGATAGATACCCATGGGACATTTGCGGTCACTACTGGATTTTTTGTCTTTGTGAATTGCCTTGACATTTTCATAATCTAATTCAATTGGGGTATCATAAAATTTACCATTGTCTCCTATTTGAAATCTCTTTTTTCAAAGGACCTCCATTGTCCGATGACCAAACCATTCCCGCAACTCATCCTGCTCAGTTCTTTTTGCATTGCTTGCGGTGGTAAGCAGAAAGTCTTTGATCGGTGCAGTGCCCTCCTCTTCATCCGGCCAATCAACTCTAATTCCACCCTTGAGCTCAAGCATTTCTTTTGCAGTCCCCCAGCTAAATCGGCACTCGTTGCCCCATCCAAAAATGGGGTCCATATGGCTTCTGAGCCAGCTGACGCACTTGGAATCTGAAGGATACCCGCTTCCCCAGCTATCTGTGGCTACCCCCAGCGATGGCGCTTCAGATCGTTGAAGTCCGTAGATGGCATCGTGGCAGAACTCCAGTGCCACGTCTCTTGTGACTTTGGCGACAACACTCGCAGCGCTTACGCAAGGGTATAGAGAGTCGGCTTTCTTAGCGACTGTAATCTTCAACGTAGGAAAAATGCGCTCCAGTTTCTGTTGGTAGGTCGCTGGATTCCCGATTGTGTCAATGTAGACCTCTCTTATGTCTACTTTGCGCTCCTCCACAATGCCGCGGATTAGTTCGACAGTGGCATCCATCGCCTGCGCGTTCAAATTATAGGCACCAGAAGCAGGTCGCATCATGCCCGCAGAGATATCTCGCGCAGATAAGACTTTGGTCGCCCACCCACACGATGCATGGAGAGGATTTCCCGCAGTGCAGAGCAGACGCATCAAGTTTGCGCGCACACCGGGCGTGAGAACTTTACTATCGTTGAAGCTATAATCGCGAGCCAGGAGGGAGTGATGGAGATTATGCGGAAGATAGAAGGCACTGTATACCATGGGACCCAAAACTGGACCACGTCCAGCTTCGTCGACGCCCAATACAAAGGCGCTTGGTGACCGGGATGCGGATTGTGGAGAAGCATCCGCTGCGTTCGTTTGAATGTCAACAGTGATCTGCGAAGACCCTTCTGTACTTGCGGGAGGAAATGGAGAATAGTAAGAGTAGGACTCTCCAGACAGCAGTCGAGCGCGATCTATACTGGGAGGGATGAAAGAGCCCGCGGAGGTAGAAGGTGCATCTGGAGAATCGGCGACACTTTGGCCGGATTCTTCCATATTCGCAGCAGGTCCGAAGTCTAGAAGAAGAAAGAAGCTCGAGAGGAGGCAGATTTGGATTAATTGACCAGCAGATGTTGGTAGACACTCACATGCTTGTATTTGTATGTCCTGGCGGCTGCACTTTGGAGTTTTGGACGCGTCGAGAACCGTTCCGGACTAGCGGCGCTTCCGCGCGTTGTTCGCCGCCCATCATGAATTCCAATGCAATTCCCCTCCCAAGCATCCACCATCTTTACTCTTGCCCGACGCTTGAATTTCTCTCTCAACATCCTGTTAGTGCACGAGGCACAGGGTGTTCCCTACATGACATACATCGTCCTCTCACAAAGTTTCACGGCTCGGAGATTCTGGTATCGGACGTCGCTGGCCCCGTACATCGCTACAATCATTCGGTGAAACTGTTTCCCGCACCACGACTCCTAAAGCTCCGCAACGATGGCTCCTCGCGGGCCTGCGAAAACCCGCGACTATGACTATTCTAATGTCGGTAAAGCTGGAAGGTATGTAATGCAGGGGGGTGTTCCCTCAGGAACGCTGCATCTTTTCAGCAAGGGAATTCTGACCATGGCACGGGATGTAGACGAACGGGAGTCACCTTAAAAGAAGGCAAGCGCGACGAGCATGGAATGGAGGAGATTGATGGGATTTTCTCATCTCCTGAAAAATCACCCGAGGGGGAACATGGCTTTGGCAACAACACTACGATTGGATCGGATGGAATGTCCATGGACGAAGGTGTGTGATTCACTTCTTCCGATCCGTTCGCGACCATACTGATCTTGTGCCTGATCACAGGCAATGGGCTTGGGCCCGCTGACTTCTTGAATGGAACGAACGGGGGACGCGCATCCATTCTGCCGCCCCCGGTTGCGCGATCTCCCATGAAATCCGGCTTGACTGGATCACCGCGGCGGACTCCCGGCTTGCGATCTTCTGCAAGCCCGCAACGTGACATCCTCTCCTCCAGTCCCTCAGATGGTAAGGGTTTAGGGAGTGCTAAGAGGGAAACACGGCGCGATGTATCCCCTCTTACCAATCGTTCCATCAATGCGCCGTCTCTGAACCATGTCAATGGCTTGCGGAATAATAAAGGAATCAACAAGACGACAGAAACCTCGGTCACAGTTGACTTCTCTGACAGTGACGCTAACAGTCAAATGAACGGAGACGAAAATGCAAATGCATTTGAGCAGATGCGAAACAATTACGACGACAGTTTCAACGCCGGCGACGACACTCTCGCGGAAGATCAACAGGAGGAGTCTGAGCGCATCGATGGTGTCGACATGGATGTTCCGTCGTACACGGCTGCCGGTTCGCGTAAAACAGAGCGATCAAGGGTCGTCCCCAAACCTAAGAAAATTACACAACCCGAGAAAACTCGGGCCCAAGAAGTCGCCCAGCAAAATGAGACGAGCGAGCAAGGAAATACACAGAAACGCAAGCGCCCTGGGAGACCCCCGAAATCGCAAAGGAGGAACAATGACGATGAGGATGCCGTGGGACAACGACCTTCCAAGAAATCCAAGACTGCCAATCAGACTGGACGGGAGTTGAAGAGCTCCGGAAATCCGGAATTAGACAAAGTCGTGGAAAAT